CCACTCGCACACCCCGCCCCCCAGCGCCCAGACCCTGCCCCGTTCACGCCCCGCCCCCTAGGTCACGCCCGTTTCCATGGCGACGCGGCACTAGGCCGGGGCTGCCTGGCCACGGAGTGGACGAGCAGCGGCAGCAGCTGCGGCGACATGAGCTCGGTGGGGGTGGCGGCCTGCCAGCCGCCCCCCAGCTCGGACACCCAGGTCTCCCAGGGCGCAGCACGCCCGCGCCAGCGCCCGTCCGCGGTCCTCCAGCAGCCGGGGCAGCCCGGGCTCAGCGAGGCGCAGAAGCGGGTCCTGGACCTGGAGAAGAGCCTGCAGTTCCTGCAGCAGCAGCACTCGGAGACGCTGGTCAAGCTCCACGAGGAGATTGAGCACCTGAAGCGAGAGAACAAGGGTGAGGCCGGGTGGCGAGGCCGGGGCGCGGCGCCCCCCGCGGTTGGGCCCCCCAGAGAAAAGATCTGCCTCCCACCCCGAGTCCTACCCCGCAGGGCTCAGGCTCCCTGCCCCAGGCCAAGGCTCCGCTCCCCCCATCATTTCCCACAGTTACCTGACCAGCCTTCTCCTCCGTAGGCAGGGCCAGGCCCACCTCATTTAAAAAAACTTTTTAGAGAAGCAAAACATACAAGTATACAGCTTCGTGAATTTTCACACACTCAGCACACCCAGATCAAGGGCAGACATGCTGGCCCCAGAAGGATCCCTGGGCCCCATCCAGACCCTCCCCAGGCATCTCTGGCCCTGTGCCCTTATGTCTCCTCGGGGCAGAACTTCCTTCCTAACTTTCCACCCCTTGAGGCTCCGCAGCCCCATGAGCCAAGCCTGAAGTGGAACTTGGGGCCTCCGCCATGGGACCCTGCCCCTCTCCCTGGCCTTGGTCAGCTTTAGCTCTCCCCGCACACATCTAGGCCTGCCTGGCTTTCTCACTCCCCTCCTTTCTCCTGCTGCCTCTACCTGGAGTGTCAAGTCCTCCAACACTGGATATCCGTTGTCAGGATCCTCCCCTCCCCGTGTCTTCCTGAGTCTCACCCCAGTCCCTCTCTGATACCAGGCTGGATGTGGCCAGCTGTCTTGGGGATCACTTGGTTGTAGCACTGACTACATCTGCTCATCCATGGCCAGGGGCTCCTGGAAAACTGGGTCATCCTGACTCACCCCTCTACCCCTGGAACCAAGCCCCCACCTGGCAGAGGGTGCCCGTAAGACATCAGGGATGAAGGGTGGGATTTCTGGCGAAGCTCTCATTCACGCAGGGGCTTTGGCTCAGGGAACAACTAGAGGCATTCCTGGCCCTAGGGTGCCCAAGGCAAAGGGTGCCCTAGGGTCCCTGAGGCCTCTTGGGGACTCAGCCAAGAGGGGGTGAGTAGGGCAAGCCAAGCTTCTCTCAAAGTGGCTGTAGCTTTGAAAATGATGAGAACATGTGCTTGCTTCCAGATCTCCATTACAGGCTAATAATGAATCAGAAGCCACCGAAAAAAGGTAAGACTGAGGCCCTCAGGGCCTGATGGGAAGTTACTAATGTCAAGAATAGCCCCTCCAGCCCAGCAAGGCATGGCTCAGTGGTTGAGCATCAACCTAGGATCCAGGAGATCAGGGTTCGATTCCCGGTCAGGACACATGCCCGGGTTGCGGGCTACAGCCAATCAATGGCTCTCATCATTGATGTTTCTGTCTCTCTCTCCCTCTCTCTGAAATCAATAAAGATATATTTAAAAAAAAAAAAAAGAGTAGCCCCTCCAGACTGCCTGTGCCCACTCAGCAGCTGCACTGGCCCACACACTGTCCTAGTGGTGAGGGGTCCTGGAGGATCTGGACACCACTGCCCCCAGCAATGGTCTGGGTGACAAACACAGAAGGTGCCATTCTCAGGGAGCCCAAGGCCTGAAGTCTGAACAGTAGGGTCAGTGGGCAGAGCAGCTGCAGGTGGGGGGCTGCCCAGGCCCTTCCCCTGCCCTCCCCAGCCTCACTACCTTGGTGAGCTCTTTCACTTGGCTTGCAGCCCTGGCCTACTCATTTCCCTCTGAAACACTGGGGAGCTCAGCAAAGCACAGCCCGAGCCCTGTGGCTCTGGTCCCTCACTCCCTGGGACAGATGGCAGGGATCCTTCCTACCATCTCAGAAGCAACTGTGGGGGCTGGGAGAAGAAAACACAGACACAGAGACTTGCAGCCACTTGTCCAAAGCCCTTCCTCATCTGTGGCCATTCACTTTGCCTGTCCCCAAGCCCAGCCCAGGCTGTTTTGGCATGTTCTCCCCACTAACCTTTGGGGTCAGGTCTGTTAGTGGGAGGTAGCCTGAGTGGTGAGTGGTGCCAGCCTGGAATGCCCCAGTCTGGGGGCTGCCCAAAGCTTTTTCTTCCTGGAGGACACAGAGAATGGGATGGTGAGGGCCCTTCTCCAGTGGGGTGGAGCAGCTCCAGTGAACTGTCCTAGATAAACAGTGACGCCCATTTAGCGGTTCCAGTCCTGCAGTGTGTATGTGGGGTCCCCGATGGGACATCAGGAGAGGTTGTATTCCTTTAGGACCTGCCTACTTCTAAGGCCCCAAGCCCCCTCCTTTGTGGATGACCCTTCGGAAACCACTTTTCCCACAGTTTTGGCTCCCTCAGGCACTGGCTAGGTCTGGGGCTGCCTCACCAGAGTGTTGGAGAGGGCTCTGCATGAATGCCCAGGCCCAGGGCCTGCAAGGCCAGGAGGCAGGCACAGGTGGGCCCAGCCCCTTGCTGTGCAGAAGCTTGATCTTGGGTTGACCTCTGCGTGTTCACCTACAGGTAGCATCTCCAATTCCAGCTTGCAGTCCATCAAGTCCATCTCGAACTCATCGTCAGGTGAGCGTGCCAGCACCCTCAGCGTGCTCGGAGGGCAAATGTTGGGCAGCCCTAGAGGTGGGGGCAGTGCCTTTGCCAGGCCCCAAGGACCTGAGGGTTAAGGGGCAACTGAAGGGAGCCAAGGAGGGTGTGGTGAGCTGAAACCATCAGAAGGGGGGCTGAGGTGGGCGGGACAGGACTACAGGTTGGCAGAGGCTGCAAAGGCTGGGTGGACCTGGCCGCAAAGAGTGATGTGATCGAGTGAGGCACACAAGGTCCCACAGCAGTCCCACCCTGCGGCATGGTGGTGGGCAGACTCACTGACAGAACCTCTCTGAATGGTCTTCCGGAGAGGGAATGTGAGCTGGCTGCCGAGGACGCCCTGCTTGTAGCATCCCTGCAAAGCAGGCAGGACGCAGGTACGATGGCCCTGCCTAGAGCCCTGGGCTTGTGGCGTCCTTTGCAGGAGGAGCAAAGTCAAGAGCCCCTTCTCCCCAGTCTGCCTCCCCAAGAGGCCAGAGATTCTTATCAGGAGCGGCCTCTGCTATTTCTAAGTAGGACCCAGGCAGGCCATGGGCCTTGTCCTTGGGAAGTAAACTTGTGCAGGCTGGGTCAAGACCTCTCATTCAGTTTCATTTTGTCCCAGATGGGGTGCTGCTTCAGTTAGGGAGCAGCTTGCAGGGCCACCTCCCCTGCCCTCCAGCACTTTCCGAACCCTGGGAGAAGACTGGCAGTTTCAGGTGTCAGGGCATTCAGCAGGCACGGCCCACAGGCTTCATCCTCAGGCCCTCACTCATGTTTTCGAGCAGGCTCTGTTACTATCTCCCCTTTACCAGGAGGAAACTAAGGCAGGGCGGGGGTTCCTTGGGTGCGCACAGCTGATCCTGGAGGACTTGGGAACAAGCACTTGATGGCCGCAGTAACTGGCCCTGTCTGGGTCTGACCTATAGCCAACTCTCAAGGCAAGGCCAAGCCTCAGCCCAGCACCAAGAAGCAAGACTCGAAAGCTGACATTCTCCAGAAGACGGACCCGGAAGAGAAGCCCCCGGCTGCGGCCCCGCTTCACAGCAGCAAACTGGACAAAGCCCCCGGGGCACAGAGGCCGGCCAAGTAAGGCATTTAGTAGGTTCACACCCTGGAACCAGCCCATCGCTTTGCCTTCCAAATGGGCTGGCCTCCAGCATGAACCAAGCTGGGGATCCTACAGGGTCCCTGTGCTGACCTGAGCCCACGGGGGGGCCAGCAGCAGCCCCTAACTTATTTTCTCAAAGATTCTGGCTGCCACCAAACGAGCTTGCTTTTCACCAAGAATAGTGAGTCAGGTTTCCAGGCTCCACCCTGGGAAACTCTCTTGGTCAATGGAAGGCACAGTCAGCAGGATACCCCAGGTTTTGGAACCTTCCCTGGAAAGCAGCAGTCTGGACTTTGCACAGAAAAGGGACCCCATTGTCTCCCAGGTAGTACAGCCAGCAGGAGAGGCTCCTGCTTCTCTGCAGCCCTTAGATTCCCTCTTGACCAGCTTTACCAGGTTTGGGGTCAGGGCAGCTTGAACTACATCTGACCCTCAGTGTACCTTGTGAGGGGCAGAAGAGATGGGCCCAGATCACAGCTGGTCCCAGAGCCCCCCCCCCC